ATCAAAACAATCATAATTTTTACATGTCAGCTGTGTGTACTTATCATTTCTCACTTAGGTTATACATAAACTAATAATTTTAAAACTTTTTCAGACATGTGACCTGAATTCACATTTCTACAGCCTAATGGTTTCAGTGTCCACACAAAGGGGCTTGCATGTGATCTCCACTTCTTGCTGAGGTTTGCATATTTTTACATTGTTAGAGGATTGTTATCTGTTTATTCATTATTGTTTTCTATCAGAAATGGATGAATGTCAGGATTTAACAGTTTAACATGTAATAATATTGATTTTTTGCTGATAATGATTTAGTATTCATTATTTAATTATTTACTGTTTAATTTGTTTTGTTTTTGTTTCTCAAAAATTGCTGCCACTCCTCCTAAAGAGTATCATTTTCACTTTATGCATATTAGATTGAAACTATTCATACTGATTTTCCTACTTTTTATTTTACAGATGTGAGAATGTCTGTGTGTGAAACTTAAAACCTAGTGAAAGTAAGAAAAAAAATAATGAACGAACATTAGAATTTAATGCTGAAAACGGAGGACTTTCTTTAAAGAGAAGCAAGATGAATGAAGATAGTCATGAACCTATAAACAAGGATGACGTGCAAGGAAGAGAGGTTGATGCGGAAAACTTAGTGAGCCAGGATAGTGAAAGTAGCTCGCAAGTAAGTGGCACAATGGATGTACGAAAGGAGGAAGATGTTGTTGAAAAGAAGAGCGTAAAGGGAAGCACAGAGGATTCAAAGGATAGGGAAAAGGAGATGCAGTTAAAGAAGTATGGAGTATTGATATGGTACGGTGAGCAGGGTGATACAGAGAGCAGTTGCGAAGAGGTTTATGATGATGATTATGATGATGCAGAATTACAAGATGAAGATACAACATTAAGCAGTGCCGAAAAAACTGACTTGCCAACAGAGGATGATGATGATGAGGCTACAGAGTTAAGTGAAAATGAAGAGAAGCATGTTGGTCAGTATAAGGAAGAAAGTAAACAAATGAAGAAAGGAGAGGACACACAGGAATATGAGAAAGAAAACGTTATGGCCGGTGAAGAAGACAATATCCAGGAGAGTAATGAAGAAGAGGATTTGCAGGAGAGTGATAAAGAGAATGACAGGCAGGAGAGTAATGAAGAGAAAACTACAGCTGATGAAGATGAAGATATGCAGGAAGGTGAGGAAGGGAACATTATGGCTAATGAAGAAGAGAACAGGCAAGAGGCTGAGGGAGATGACATGCAGGAGGATGAGGAAGAAAACATTATAGCTGATGAAGATGACAGGCAGGAGAGTAATGAAGAGAAAACAACAGCTGATGAAGATGAAGACATGCAGGAAGGTGAGGAAGGGAACATTATGGCTAATGAAGAAGAGAACAGGCAAGAGGCTGAGGGAGATGACATGCAGGAGGATGAGGTAGAAAACACTATGACTGATGAAGATGACAGGCAGGAGAGTAATGAAGAGAAAACAACAGCTGATGAAGATGAAGACATGCAGGAAGGTGAGGAAGGGAACATTGCAGCTAATGAAGAGGAGGACAGGCAGGAGGCTGAGGGAGATGACATGCAGGAGGATGAGGAAGAAAACATTATAGCTGATGAAGATGACAGGCAGGAGAGTAATGAAGAGAAAACAACAGCTGATGAAGATGAAGACATGCAGGAAGGTGAGGAAGGGAACATTGCAGCTAATGAAGAGGAGGACAGGCAGGAGGCTGAGGAAGATGACATCCAGGAGGATGAGGTAGAAAACACTATGACTGATGAAGATGACAGGCAGGAGAGTAATGAAGAGAAAACAACAGCTTATGAAGATGAACAGACGCAGGAAGGTGAAGAAGATGAGGAAGATGACATGCAGGAGGATAAGGAAGAAAACATTATGGTTGATAAAGAAGAAGACACACAGGAGAGTAATGAAGAAAGAATTGCAGCTGATGACGATGATGATGATATGCCGGAAGCTGAGGAAGAGAACATGGCTGATGAAGAAAATATGCTGGAGGATGAGGGCAAAAATGTGGCTGATGAGGAAAAGGACATGCAGATGTCTGAGGAAGAGAATAGGCAGGAGAGTGAGGAAGAGAATAGACAAGAGAGTGAGGAAGAGAACATAATGACTGTTGAGGAAGACACGCAAGAGAATATTATGGCTGATGAAGAGGATAGCCCAGAGAGCAAGGAAGAGAGCGTTATGGCTGTTGAAGAAGAGGACACACAGGAGGCTAAGAGAGGGAAAAGGATGGCTGATGAAGAGGATGGTCAAGAAGGCAAGAGAGAGGAAATAACAGGTGAGGAAGAGAGTAGTCTGAGTGAAGAAGGAAAGGAAGAGGACAAGGGAGATGAGAGAAAGACAGATGAGGAAGAGGAAAAACAAAAGGTAAAGCCAGTTTGCGAGGTGAATGAGGCAAAGAATATCCAGGACATTGGGAATGCACATCCTAGTGAGGCAGAAGCCCTTCAGGCAGGGAGTGACAAAAACGAGCAGTGTGAAGAGGAAGGAGAAATTCCACCAGATCATCCTATTTGCAAGGAAAGACAATCCAAATCTGATAACGAAGAAGAAACAACAGATAAGGGTGCAACAGAGGTTAACTGTGGGGATATCCAAAAGAGTAATAATGATGGGTTTGTAACAGAAGAGACAAGTAAAGATAGTGCTGAAACGTCGCCAGTCCTTGGGCAGAAACACAGGAGGAGGACACTTAGTTTTGACAATTTAGAAATTGCGAAAACAACATCCGAGAGCCAGAGTCTTGACAATAGTGATAATTCTGATAATTCCGGGGAGGTTCAGACCTCAGATGAATGCCAGGTCAACAGAACGTCACCAATTATTGGCTCCAGATTAAAGGATACCTCTGGCAGCCCTTGGAAGCATGATGTAACAGGCCTAACAGCAGAGGGTAAGTTCAACCTTGTTATTACGTCGGTAAGGGGTAAGGTTGCAGACTTTAACGAGTGCAACAAAAATTCTGAAGCAGCAGATGATAAAAAATTGGCTTCTGGATCTTCAGATGTAAGTAACGATAAATCTCCAACTTCTCAGGAGAAGAATATCGAATGTGTAGAGATAGTAAGTGAGAGCGAAGAAGATAACGTATTTGAGGAATGCAAAGCTGTCGTCTGTAAGAAATGCCGAAGCATCTGGACTGAGAAAGTTTTACATACAATTTTTAAGGGCAGTGAAGCAGTCACTGTCAACTCAAAAATAACTTTCGGAGCTATAGTCCTAATCAATAACTGGGCCCATAGACACATTCAGCACAACAGAGAAAGCTCTGTGAAAAACATGCTGGAGAGGGCTGATCTCGGTAGAAATATTGAGGGGTTGGAGATAAGTGATCTGAGTCAGTGGCTTTTTGAACTTATGGACAAAGGCAAGATAAAATGCTGTGCTGTGTTTGATGCCATATATAAGCCAGAGCCCATCAAAGTATCACTAAGCTCACTGAAAAAAGTTAAAGGAGCTAGTAGTAAAGCCATAAAAGCACCCTGTAGAGATCAGAATGATGGTGAAATGTCAAAGAAGAGGTCATTGCAGCTTGAAGAGGAAAGGTTATCTGATTCACAAGGTCTCTCAAAAGTGCCAGAGGTGACCAAGGGAGCAAGAACCAAGAAAAAGGAAAAGAAAGATGAGTTGGTAGATACATCAGGTGTGCAGGATCATAGCTCGCCAGACAGAGCACAAACTATAAAGGAAAAGAAGGCTATTGAAACATTAGAACAGAGATCAGAACCAGGTGAACAAGTCTCCAGACATAGTCCAAGGCAGTCTGATGAAGTGCCCACTGACGAAGATGAAAGTTTATCCAAGTCTCATTCTTCCATTTCTGAGATGCAGTCCAAGGCAGTTCTGAGTGATGACCAAGTATCTGCAGGAGAAGAGGTTTTATATGAAACAGAACCCTCACAAGCAAAAGAGGTTAGTTATGTATATGAGGAAAATGATATGGAAGTTAGTGACCACGAAGAGGGTGGGAATGATGAGAATGTTGTTCCAACACCAATACTCAGACAAGAGGAGGAAATTGAGCCAGATGTTCATACAACAGAAGAGAGAGAGATATTGTCAGGTACTGTGGAAAATAGGCAGTCTCTGTTGTGCAAAAAGCTAGGCTTAGATATTAATAATATCGATATTAGTTGTTCTAGTAGTGACATGAAAAGGGCCAACAATGGAACTATGGCAAAGCAAGTTTCAGCTGAAGAGGCAGTATCTCGTGCTCACATCACTCTGTTAAAGGAACGTTCAGCCTTACACGGGTTTGCAAGTGAAGCGTTTGATCTGTTACCCTTCGAGTTTGAAAATTTCTATGATTCTGTACATAGTGATGAGTCTACTCAGCGCTTCATGACAAATCGTGAATTACTGACACTGCACAGCATTTTCATTCTAGATGCAGAGCTCCCCAATGCTGAACTCTTTTATCAGGTTTTGATTCAGATTCTAATGAGTCGAAACCAAGTCTTACTTGTCCCAGACAGCCGAACTTTGCTGCAGGTCCTTGAGAAGTTGCGCCGGGATTTCAACAGAGCGAAAGTGGGAAAGTCGTATAGTGAGTTCTTAGCACAAAACTGGGACATGAGAAATGTTTATAGTGCAGAGAATTTATGGAATAACAAAAGAGGCTATCCTAATAATCCAAATATAAGAAATGTTTTGTCTATTTTTTGCTTGTGGAAGAACATTGGCAAGCAGTTAACCAATTTCTATCCTTCTTTAGCTATACAAGAAATGTGTAAATTCACTGATTTAAGCAGTACAGACAAGCTGGGTATGTGTGTGAGACTGTATGCAAGATTTTGCAATTTCTTGTACAAAGAAAATCACCCAGAATTAGCAGAACTTTTCCTTGACCAAAAATTCACAATATCCAACATCTCTGTATCAAGAGATGCTTTGCTCAACAGTATGAAGTGCCAAGCTTCAGAGAATCAAAGGGTAGAAGCTTCACTTACTAGTACAGAAACAGAAGTTATACAGGCAATGCAAAATTGCACCGAAGCAGAGAAAATGGCCCTACGTTCTGAAAATCCCAAGACTCTGAGACACTTCCAGAGACTCTTGAAACAGTTTGAACAAAAGCTAGACCGATACAAAGATGCAAATGCTGAACTAGTGAAGAGAATTAGAGTTGCTGAAGCCAGGAAAGAAAAGCTAATGAATAAGATAAAGGATCCAAGCCTGAAAGGATCGTTGCATGAACTTACTGATGAGTTGAGCACCATTTATCGCAACAAGAGGAAAAACAGTTCTCTCAGTGAGGCTGACCAAAGAAGCGCAAAGTTTGCAAGGATGGAGTCAGAACCATACGAAGTTGCAGAAAGTACAAAGGAAGTCATTCATAACATCCTTGCAAAGGGAGTTAAGCCGGAACTAGTGAGAACTGTCATTCAAACCGTAATGAAAAAAGTAACTGGAGAGAGTGCCTTAAATCTGCCTGATGTCTTCTGGATCAGAAAATATGCACAGGAAAATGGTTTTCAGTCTACAGAGAGTTGATACAAGCTGAGCCCCTTGAATGTAGGTGATATGGTTTCATAAATATTCAGGAAATCTCAATATATTTTAGTTTTAGTTTTCTCAAAAAGTACTGTATCAGTATGAGGTAAAATCAATATTATTTATTGTACTTTGTAATATTGGAGATAAGGAATGTAACTATAGTTTGCATTTTTCTCTTGTGATATCAAAGATCTCATGTAAATACATAATTCATCATCCTTGTGTATGTCTTATGTTGATGTACTTGTATATTGTATATATGCATATATTACAGGCTTGTGTATAATGTCTGTATGTGTACACGTCAAGAGGCTAAAATCAGACAAAGAGGACAGGATTCCCTTAATTCTTTTTCCTGAAATGTTACACTCACAGTCTCTTATTAAGAAAATTTCTGAAGAACCCTAAGTGCTTCCACATTTAACTCTCTTCATTTGTGAAAACTAAAGCAATCAGCCAGTCTTGGTCTCCCTAGTGAGATATTTTGGAGATTGGTTTGCAGACACTTTAGCTTGTATGAAAGAAAAAAAGGAAGAGAGAATATAAGAGATAAGGCATGTAATAACAAACTGTTATATTTGTTCTCTTTGGTATCTCTGAGTTGGCTTCAATTTTTACCTTTTACAAATTTCATTATTCAGGGTATTGAGAATCATAGTCTGTACATAGTCTGTACACAATACACAATTGGTTATATATGTGTTTAATGTTCTTCCTAATGTTGGAATCTAAACGTGCTTTTGTGACAGGCTTCATGTGTCATATAATATGATACCTAGAAGAAGAGTTACACATCTGTGATTATTTATACACAAGTAAAATCTTTAAACATTAGAATGAGAGTGTTCTTCCCCATAATGATAGATATACAGTATATTAGATTTACAAGAGTGGCTGAATCAGATGTTTGGCTTCTTGAGATTCAAGATTAAAACACATGAAAAGTTTGTCTTGAAAGTTTACTACAATGACTTTCAATTCAGTATTCACAAATAGAGCACTGAGTAGCCATTTTCAATAAAAGGTGCAACTTTTTTTTTTTCCAATCTTAAATATGTTGCAAATACTGCCAATGGTGATGATATTCAAATACAGTTTTACCTGCTATGATATAAGCCTTTGCACAACACCCATTTCTTTTAGTCTTGGCTCTTAGAGGACGAGCAACTACTTGCTACTTGCCTTCCATTGCAACATCACGACTTCCTTTTCAGCTTCTCAGTCAGTTGTTATATGTGACTCAGCTCCCTTCTTAATCCACTTAGCTGTGTTCAAGCAACTATTTAATAGTTATAATTAATTTCTCTAGTATTTAGTGTCCCTGAAAGAACATATTCTTATTTAATATCTATGGATAGATCATTAGAGTTCATTGCAACAAATTATGAAAAGGTACGAATGAGAATGAACAATTTCACAATATTATCACCAAAGAAATATAACTGATGTATTTATGTTATGTGCTTAATGACTTAAAACATGATATCAAAATACATCAATTACATTTCTTGCATTATGAAACTTTTAATTTGTATTCATATTTATTCTCCCTCCATCTCTCTCTCTCTCTCTCTCTCTCTCTCTCTCTCTCTCTCTCTCTCTCTCTCTCTCTCTCTCTCTCTCTCTCTCTCTCTCTCTCTCTCTCTTTCCCTCTCTCTCCTCCACCAATCGCCATTCTCTTCTGTTTTCTCCTTTTCTTCCTTCTTTTCTTTCATTTCTCTGTCTCTCTTTCTCTTCTTTCACTTCACTCTCTTTATTATTTTTAAGACAAGTGGTATTGAATGAAATAGAGAGAGGGGGGGACACTAATAATTGCATGAAGGAAAAGAGAGAGCACTGATATATGTATAGATTGTAAAAAAAATAATAAAAAATGAAACCGAGAAAAAAAAATGAAAATCGAGACCCAAAAGAGATGAATTAGACTTAACAATTTATTCATAAACCAATCAATACACCTCAAAAAGAGAGAG